AAGAAAATTGACAATGAGGGCCTGGTACCTGGTACTTTTTGATGATTCCAAAAGTCATTACTACTTTAAAAACATATTTTGAAATATTGGATGATGCATATTCAGGTTAAACTACAACTTATAATATCATAGGAAAATATTTTAAAGATGTCTTAAATACTTAGGATATATGTATGGTAAATGATAAAATAGAGTACGTGGACTAGGGGGTTTCTCTTGCTGAAAACAAGTTTTATCAGCTTAGTACTAAACTACATAAATCTCTGTTTTCTTATGTAGTATTTACATTTTCAAAGTTGATTAAATCTTCTAAACATTATAATAAAGAAAATGGAACAAGGGAAGGATATTTTAATTTATATTGCACTTGATCTTAATTTGTTTGTGTTAATTAATTAGGCAATAAGCTAGTTTTTTAGAGCAGGTTTCATATTACACTATTATTATTAATAGTAACACTAGAATATAACTATTACAGTAGAAGCATCCCTGAATTATGATGTTTTCAGCATGTCAGTAAGCTTACCATTGCATTGAGTATGGGCACCCAGGTAATAATGCAGATTACAACATTTTATCATTACCATTTACTACTGAGACAAACAAAATGAAACAAGAATATTTAAGTACTTTTCCTGTAATGCTTCTTTTAATTCCTTGATGTGAAATCACAGTAGTGGTGTTGTACTATTATGATAATTGTTCAGAACTGATTCACCTTGCTGTGTGGTCATAACAGCATTTATCACCTTTTTCTTCTTTCTTTTCTATCTTTTAACGTGTGAAGAATAAGCTGCTTAGTTCCTTCATGCAATAATCAGCTGTGGTCAAAGTGGAGCAAAATAGGTATCAGTGGAAAAGTGATTCTAAAAGACAAAACATACAAAATGGATTCCCCACTATAGTGTTACAAATGGAATGGCGTTTACCTGTTATGGATGTAATACAGAATACAATAGATGATGACTTGTAAATAGTATCAATTCCAGTGTTAAACCATTGGGTGACAGGTATTACCACAAGAAGTAAGCCATTCTATAACATCACAGAATTACTTAACCCTTTTCATTTGGGCTTAGTCAATTTGAGAAGTGAGCATATAATTATGTTATGTTACAGAGTTACATTCAAAATTTAACTGAACATCTTTATTTTCAATGTATGTTATCAAAGTTGGCATCAAAATGTAGTTTATAATTCACTTTTTTATTATTATCTAGGTTTTATTTTCAAAAGGAAATATTAAAAGTTCACAATCTTTACTTCTCTGTGTCATTTGACATGCATACACTCTTGGTTTTCGCTTTTTTTATTGTATAACTTCAGTATTATTGTGTCTAATGTTTAACCAGTTAGGAACACAAACTGTAAACAATTACAAGCTCATATATAAAAGTTTGAATATCTTGTCTTCTTAATTTGCTGAGATATAAATACATTTTTCCAATCCCTACCAGAGAAGCCCCACCCTTCTTTCCATAACTTTCAAGGCAATTTTCTAAACCACACAGCCTTACTTGATGGACATGTTTATAACAAATATAAAAAGCGTTTTTTCTTCTATATTGAGCATACAATCATCCTTTTAAATTTGGCAGTAAAAGATAGTAGTCAAAGGAAGTGCTTGCTTGCCATATGTTGGCAAAGTTCATTGCTTCTAGTGGTATTGTAATTTCCCCAAAAGGGAGCCAAAGGTCGCCTGGAGGAGTTGCCTGTTTTATCTACTTGCACCACTGTACAGTAATGTGTTGTCTGTCAGTCAGTAGACATAAGAGGTGCTTATTGTTGCAATTTGTACTGTTGTGACATCAGTAAAACATATGCATGCCATGAATCACCAGAAGAATTATGCACTCTGGAGGCTACAACACAGCATGACATATAAACTTCAAAAGCAAGAAAAAAAACATTTGTTACTTTTAATTTTGGTTTTATTTACTCTTTAAACAGAACAAATTTGGGGACCCTGCAGAAGTATATCTATATATCTATTTGTTCAAATTCCAATGTTCATATAGTTCATGGCTCAGAGTCTGCATCAGTGTATGAAAAACTGCTAATTTGGTCTTGCTGTGATTTATTGCTTATGGAAGAATAAGCTGCTTCCATGGTACAGGCCAGGTAATAAAACTGTCAAACAAAAGAATAATGATTTGAAAGTTAACAGTCCAAATTTTGAAGATATGGCAATAAATGATACATTCAAAGAAGAATAAAATATTATTAATTTTATTTCGTAATTTTCAACTTTTTATTTCACTGTTGTTGATAATTTTGCTACAGTTATTGTTAGTGTACAGAAAGTAACAGATAAATATAAAGTTTTACAGAAAAACTTTTGATAATCATATAGAATGTTTTGGAGGTCATGGAAATGAAATATGAATCTAAGATGAAAAGAATTATTTTTATTCTTGGCATGAACATACTTTTCACTCAGACTTACACAATAAAGATTTTGTAAATTCACAGAAAAATCTTTACTTTAAATACTTTATTAAAACATCGTATGTTTTATGTACAATAAACTTGTTAAGCTTACTAAAAGATTGCCTAATTTCATAAAGATATATTTAGTATGTATAGTTTCACATTTATATGGTAGTTGCAAGATTGCTCAAATTAACTATATTTTTACTAGCCTGGATTTAAAAGGTTTAAAATGACCATGAAAACTGCATCTTTCTCTCTCTCTATGTAAACATATGCTTTGTGGTCCTGTGTCTGGCAAGCTAGTTAAGGTAAAGATACAATCGTGATATTACAGAGTATTATTGTTGGATTAACTGTGTTTCTCCAGCATCATTATCTTCTACAACTGTACTACAAAACATAAGACATCCCATAAACTTCCATTGAAACTCCTTCCACTTATACACATCCCATAAATTTCCACTGAAACTCCTTCCACTTATATACATCCCATAAACTTCCACTGAAACTCCTTCCACTTATACACATCCCAAAACTTCCACTGAAACTCCTTCCACTTATACTCTTCCTTCTGCAAGAGCAAATCCATCAAAAGTAATCAAAGATTGGTATTGTATGTATTCAATAGGTATATGAACATTAGTTGCATGTGAATACATTGAATCTGTGCTATACTTCTTACATTATAAATGATATAGAAGACTTAAAGTTTTTCTACGGTAAAGAACTTCAGAACATCAGTTTATATAGTGCTTGAACATTACCTGTAGATAAAAGATATTACTTGTCAAAGAGAAAGAAATACATTAAAAAATACAATCTAATCCATCAATAAAACAAAAAAGTCAGTTAAATATCCCTCCCATTGTTTCATTTTATTTATGGAATTATTATTTTTCAGCTTTATTGCAATGTTTAGAGGATTTATCAGCTTTAAAAACATGTAAATAGAAATACTACATAAAAAAATAGAGATTTCTGCGCTTTAGTACTAAGACAATAAAGCTTTCTTTCTGCAATATATCCTCCCTCCTTATTGGTTGATCATGAAGAAATAAATTGCACTATATCACTATTTGTTATTAATACATAAATTGTAAGGTAGTAGAAATTGCAGCTTAAATTATTTACATAGGAGTATAGGGTGGTCACAGAAATGTACCAGCCCCCTCTCTAATTTTCTTCAAACATCAAGTAAGCTCTTAGGATTATTTTAGGAAAGACAATTTTGCCAATACCAGTTAAATAGTTTATTTGATGTATAAACATATCATGTGACTAGGTGTTTAATACAGTTTTTACATGATTTTCATCAGAAACTGTGTTTTTTCCACAAACATCTTAATTTGTAAAAAAATGTATGACTGCCATGTTATATGGTTTTTAGGATCACAACTAGCTTGAAACAGTGGGGTTTCAATGAAAAGTTTTCATAGACAATCAGATTTAAGAAATCAATTATTATAATTCTGGCTGTAGGATATGGCCGTGTTTATGATGTCCTGTGTTCAAAGTGGCAATGTTTGGAAAAACAAACTTTGGTGAAAAATGTATTTTCACATTAGGTTTATTTTGGTTTAGTTTTAAAAAACTTTTACGATAGGGTTACTGTGGTCCCTTAAACCACCTTGTCCATAGTTTCTATTAAAAACTGGAGAAATCCAGAGGCTGACTTACACTCTTTGAAAAGAACTAGTTGAAACTGATGTGTATGTGCATACATATAGGCAGGTAGAGAAAATATTTCTAGTGATCTTAAGCCCAGAAATTGATATAGGCAAATAATACAATTTCTCCAAGGAATTTTTCATTTTATCTATAAAAACGTGTCGTATTTCTAGTATTACAAATGTTTTAGAAATTTGCTAATGCTGTTATAAAATCTCTATAATGTGTATGGTTTTTAATGCTGCTTCATTAACTTGCATCCAGTTAAATGCTGAGTACATGTATGCATATGTTTTCTTACATTTTGTTTCCCATAGGTTAATGATATTCTCATACAAGGGTTGTTTATAGTATTTATTTACATGAATTACACAAATTTTAAGAACTATACACATGTTTTGTACATTACTGTCTGTTGATTATTGTATTACTATTCCTAATCGTAAGGGATTGTGGCTATCTCTTTTTCTTGTTGTGTATTATTTTTTAAATGTTTTTTTAAGGTTTAACCTCATAACTTAAGTTGTTAATGCTTTCCTTGTTTTCGTTTTGCTTTTAATTGTGTTCAGAAGTTTTAACCTTACAACTGAGGATACTAATATTTGCTTGTTTCTTTAATTTCTTAATGCTGTTTTGAAGTTTTAACCCTACTGCTCACCTTATTAATACTTTTTTTTTTGCTCTTAGTATTGTTCTGATGTTTTAACACTATAGCATCAACTTACTAATGCTTTCCTTATTTTTATAATTTGATATTAGTATTGTTCAGATATTTTAATCCTACAACTGAGCTTACTAATGCTTTCCTTGTTCTTGTAAATCGTTTTTAGTATTGTTTTGATATTTTAATCCTACAACTGAACTTTCTAATGCATTCCTTGTTTCTGTTTAATAATCAGACCCCCTGTAATGTTCCAAAGGAGACGAAGGAAATACCGTGAAGGGTTTGATCATCGAGGACCAAGGCCAAATTTGAAATATCTTCGGCGAGATTTCAGAGAAGGTTTTTAACAAATTTTCTTATATATTTTACAGATCTGGCCTAAATATGATCATATAAAAACTAACTAGTTTTTTATTTACTTGTAGGACATTAAACTGTATACTTTTATAACTATATATGGAAAGTCAGGGAAAAACAAGATATGTTTTCCAGACCTGAAAAGTCTGAGAATTTTTTACAGATTGCAGTTGTAGTCATAGAATGTGAGGGAAGATCGTGTAAGGTGAAAGTTACCGTAGAATATGTGAGCAGGCACTAGTTCGTGGAGACTTTCAATTTGCTGCGTGTTCAAATGCCTTTCTTTTTCTTTCTTTTTCTCCACCATTCAATTTGCATGTTATCCATTTTCCCAGTGTATTTTAATATGAAGCATTCATTGGTTGCCTTGAGTGGCGGTGTTACATTTACCTACAATATTTAGCCTGTAATTCACTTATGAAATGTTCCTGATTATTAGGTAGGCTCTGTTGAAGTGATTGTCGTACATACATGTAGACTGGATTTAAACAGATCATACCTAGAAAGTGCATTTTCAATTATAATTGGCTAACTGATGAGAGGTATAAATTATGGTTGACAAATAGGTGACAAAAGTGTAGAATGTGTTGTGTGGCACAAAACTAGACATGGGCGAAGAAGCATTACGTAGCCATGCTAAGACCAACAAACATCAGACTTGCTTGGAAAGGTAAATAAAAGAAATATCATATACGGATATAAACACATTTTTTGGCAACAGTGAAACAGCATCAGTGGCTATAAAAAAAAGTGATGGAGTTCAAGGTCTCAGAATAGAAGCAGATATTCTGGGATGCTTGAAGCTTATCTGGTCATACTGGTCATCAGATGCTATGGGTAAGATTACAATATTTGTATAATTGGGGATTTTTTCTTTACTTGAAACTTTTTTAATCAGGGATGTCCATGTGTACAGTGAAAGGGTCTGATATAATTTAAATTTATAAGTAATCTACAGTGTTGGTTTACTGAAATGTGTATCCAGCAGAATTAATTATCCTTCATATAGCTCAAGTTTTAAAAGGTGAATTGTATATTTTTCTGCACTGTAATTAGAGGAAAACACGCCTGCGGTTGCATAGAAGTAGTGCATGTTATTGTCATAGTATTTTGCATATAAAGCCACTATAGTGTATTGTAGAGAATTATCAGTGCAGAACTTTTAGTTTGATTTTATATACTTTTCTTTCTTTTTCTCTACCATTCAATTTGCATGTTATCCATTTTCCCAGTGTATTTTAATATGAAGCATTCATTGGTTGCCTTGAGTGGCGGTGTTAAAATGAAGATATACTGTTATTCCAAATTTTAAATTGCCTCTAAAACCTAATTGATAGATATATATATGAAAATTGATTTATGAGAAGCTAAATTCATACAAAAGAATGAAATTTTATAAAATTATGGAAATTAGGACATTGTCTGAAGACCTTAAAATTTAACAGTTTGAATATCTCAAAACTTTGGAATGCACATGTATGGTTCTTTGTTTGAATGATTTAATTAAAGTAAATATTTTGATCAGTAATACATTTTCTAAAGTTATCGTACATAGTGACATTTATGAAAGACAATTTTTTTATGCTAGTTTAATCTAGAAGAGGTTTTGATTTTAAGTATAATCACAAGATCTGTCTCACTTTTGATCCTAACTAACTGTGTTTTTTTTCCAGTTCTACAAAAAAATTTCTTTTTTGTTTCATGACCTCTTCAAAAGTATTGTTACGTCTCTGCTCGTTTGTTAAATTCCAGAGTAAATTCTTTCTGAGGAACTTCAGCGATACAAGTCCTTTCTTAATTAAAACTAGTTTATTCTTTCTCGATACAACTTTGTAATACACAGAATTTCCACAGTCACTCTAAACTTAACAACCTTTATAACACACACTATAAATCACAGTGATTCACACACTTTACTTATGGTGCCTACTGTTCACTTGACTCAATTATCTATCTCTCCGATCTATCTGCTGTTCCCGCTGGTTTTTCTCGCCAGGCTTATATACTAAAAAGAGGGCATCTCGAATGCACTCGGGCCTTCATGATCCTTTGAGAAACTCCAGTGCACATGCTCCAAGCGTCATGTGACATCTGCTGTCATAACAGTATGTTTCCAGGTAGTGAAATAGCTAGCAACTTCCAATATGGAGAAAAAAATAAATCAACTTATTTGACTGTCTTCAGTATTGCACCACATTTCAGGTCACTTCTGACAAGACTAAGGACATTTTCTTTGTTTTGATGACAACTTAAATTAAACACCAAAACAGAAATTAAACAAATGAACCTGCACCTAAGAATGTGGGATAATGATTCTGTATTTACATGCTACCTCACTTCAGAATTTATGGGTATGCCACAGCTGAGGACATGGTAGAGATTTTCCACAAATCAACAGAAGGATTGAAGTGAAAATCCTTATTTCAGCTTTCAGTGGATGAACCCAGTGTTAATTAAAGTTCCACAACTTGATTCAAATGGAACTTGAAAGATATGTGAATTCAGTAGTCCTTAATTTATGAAGTTTTGGTTTGTATATTTTACATATGGCATTCAAGAAAGGAGCAAATTCTACAGATTGGAAGATTGACCAGTTTTTAAGTTGGGTTTACTCGTTACTGAAGGACTCCCCTTTTTGATGTGAAGATTATGATAAAACCACAGGAATGAACAAACCACTCATGCTACTGAATTTCTGCAAAACAATATTGGTTAGAAAATGTGCCAGTGACAGAGAGAGTTATTAAAATAATGCCAGACATAAAGAACTATGTAGAAGCAGTAGAGTCTGGAAAAATCACAAATCTTGCTACAAAGTTGCACAGTACTGTCAAGGAAGAGTGTAAAGATCCACTGATGCCTGCTATACTTGCATTTCACCTATTGCTTGCAGAAGAAGTGGCTCCCTTTCTGACTGTACATCTGACAGAGAAATCAATGGTTTCATTTCTTGAGGGTGATCTCTTCCGTGTGATTAAATCTGTCATGCACATGTTCATTAAAGGGGGGGGGGTGTAATTCTGAAACCCTCACTGTGTCCAAATTGATGAGCATTGATGTTGCATTCAGAAAAATCCTCTGCCATCCAAACAAAATAGATGGTGGATTTACAGCAGAGAAGATACTGAAGGAATTCATGGCAATTAAAAAAATAAGTGAAAAAAGAGAACTTGCATTTATGATGGAGAGTAAAGAGTGCTTGCTGTCACTTATTCTGAAGTTGCAGGATAAATCTTTCCTACAATACACATTGATGTGCAACATGGCATGCTTGGATCCATATGAAATGGCCAAGGAACAGGAATCATGAGAAAAAGCTCAAAAAGGTACATCAAATGCTTGTTGATGTAAAACATATTGATGAGAACAGCTGCGATTACATCTTCAGACAGTAGAGACAGTACATCAGTGATACTGTAACTAGCAGAAAAACAGAATTTACTGATTTTGACAATGAAACAATGGCAGGTAGCATTGAAAAGCTGTGGGAATTTGTGCAGGTCTTGCTGCTTCTGTCTCTTGGGAATGCCTTGATGGTAGTGAATCATCAGATTGAGGTTGAAAATCTTCAAGAGAAAATGCACATAGCTCAGTGTCTTGTGTGTGACCATTTTGCCTTAAGGAGGAGGGATACAGAATGTTATGTTTGCAAAGGCCCTCTTACTCTCTGCAGATGGTGCAAGGCAAAAGTACTATTCCTACTTGGATGAGTAAAAGGGACACAAGGCAAATGAAAACACTCAAGCAAAAACCACTCATGAATGAAAGTGATGAAAAAAGAAGTAACAAATTGAGACAGGTGGACATGCCCTTGAAACATCAGCTGATGAATTTACCTTGAAGGTTGAAAGCATAGAAAAGCTGGCCTTGATTACAAAATCAAACAGTTTGCATTAATCTGCTAAGAACAAACTTCTAAGTCTGCAACCTTTTAAAAAAAGAACTGGACAAAAAGATCAAAGAACTTAAAACATATAAAAAACACACACACATTCAAATGTAATGTGAAACTAGAATATTCCCTGCTCACTATCAGGCACATCTGTGTGGAAATACATATAAAAATTTGATTTTATATTTGTTGTACTAAAATAAAAATGAAAATGAGATAGCTCATGAGAAGGAGAGTTGTAATTCTACGTTTGTACTTGACATGACAGCATAACCTGCTTGTAGCTTGCATTTATTTAGTTTTTCATAATCATAGTCATTATTAATATAAAAAGAAAGAAAAAGCACACACTCTTATTTGATGTATGCCTTATAAAAAATGAAGTGAGACAGCTTGTCGATAGGAAACGAAGTCATGGAATTCTTCTTTGACCAACTTGTATGAACCCTGTTATATGTAATCATTTGTTCTGTTTCTTACAGTTCATTACATTTCTGATTTATTACAAATTTAAAGCATTTTTGGTTTTCATTAGAATATTTTTAATAAATGGATTCAACAAAAGAAAGGGGAAACATTTTGAGTTCATACCAGTTCAACAGAATGAGCATAACATCCACAAATTAAACATTTTAGACAAGATTGTATGGGTCTGAGGAGAAAATGTTTAAATTTTAATACTCAGTTTCTTGCCTTTATGATGTATTGGCAGTTTTTTTTTCCTCCAGTATATATATATATATATATATATATATATAATACTACTTAGTAATAAAGTACTATAATTATTCGTAGTGACTTATTTTT